ATCTCTGTATAAATAAGACATAAGAAAACTAGCTTTTGCACGCGAGTCCGTCCGCGTGGAATTAAGAAAAACTTAGCAAGTACTCTTATTTGTTCTATCTTATTTTTTAATATTATAAATACGAAAGTTTAGATGGATATTTGTTAAAGTTTGTGGCCTAAACGAGTGAACGGATCTCGATGAAATTTGGCATAGACGTAGGGAATAGTCTGGAAGAACGAATAGGCTACTCATTTTTGTTTTTTTTTTAATTCTACGCGGACGGAGTCACGGGCGAAAGCTAGTGTTTTACATTTGTACAAAATGTCATCGAGATTCATCCGTCCTTTCGCATTTATAATATTAGTAAGGATGGGTAATAACAAAGTTTCCCCCTACCTGGTATATGAACAGTGGATGTTGCGGGAACTTGTCCTTGGTCTGTCGCACGATGTCGAGGTAGGGCAGCCCCGGCTTCACCATCAGGAAGTCCGCGCCCTCCGCCACGTCTCTACACTGATGATTAGATGTTGACAAAATTATTAAAAAAAATACATTATTTAGGTTTCGTTTTAAAACAGACTATATCAGTATATCCTAAGTTTTGATTGAATGCCTAAATTATATAAGAAATACATATATACATTAATAATAATATACATTCATGTTTAATGTGAAATAATAGAAATAACAGATAATTAGTAGATTTCTATACTCCTCTTTATATAGGAAAGATTTGTATTTTTGTATGTATTCGATTCACGTGAAAACTACTGGGCCGATTACAAAAATTCTTTCACCATTAGAAAGGTAATTTATCTGTGAGTAACATAGGCTATGTTTTTTTATTATTTATTTTATTACACGCAGTCGTAGTCGCGAGCAACAGCTAGTAAGTAATGAAATAAAACAAAAATATATTTTCATATACATTTAAATTTTTAAGAAACTTTATTGTAGTTGTCAGATAAATCGAAATGATTGTAAAATAAGTGTTTCACTTACAGCGGCGCGCATGGCAAGTCCTGCACTGCCGGGCGGCAACTGGTAACATTTGCGGTCACCGGCCATGGGGGAGCTCTTCATAGTATCGCGGAAGGGGCCGTACATCGACGACGCGAATTTACACGAGTACGACAACACTGATACCTGAGAACATCCATATAATGGTCACCTTCATCATCATCATCTCCCCTGCCTTATCCTACTCCCGTAGGGTCGGCGTATAAACTCCAATGTGGAAAAGAGACCATACGTTGCTGCATATAATGGTCACCTTATTATTCACTTAAAGAAAAATAATTCTAACTGCAATACTGCGAAGGAATAAATCTTTGTGGTAATAAGTGTCAAATATGTTTATCTCTTTCTAATCTTCCTGCCATCTCACTCATGTGAGATCGCTGCAATCCTCGTCCTCCAGATCGATCTATCTTTCGACATGATCTAAATGTGATCTATACTAATAAAGAGGAAATATTTGTATTTTTGTATGTATTGAAATAACTCAAAAACTACTGGACCAATATCAAAAATTTACACCATTAAAAAGCTACGATATCAGTGTTTACATAGGCTGCTTTTTGTAATTTTTAAATGCACGCGGGCAATGACACGAGCAATAGTTAGTTTGTATTATGTTGAAATACTGAAGTGGTTCCACAGAGTGATTTATGTATCTACCTGGTTTTGCAATCTGTTAGCGACCAGAGCATCCTTGATGGCTTTGATTCTATTGTCCATCATATCAGAAGGTGCCACAATATGAGCACCTGAAATAAAATATCATATATCTTTTGATAATATTCACTTTACATTCGGCAATAAATTTTAAGACAATCATGACGACTGTATTATTTTGAATTCAATAATAACAATGACTTATCATATTTTTATTTACTCTAATACTAAGTGTCATCCATGAAGCCATTTACACAGCCATACACAAAATTTAGAAACAAAGTTAGCTAATGTATTCTACCAGACATTGTTATATGTCAAATTTCAGCGGGATCCATTGAGCCATTCTAGAGATTATAGTAGAAAAATCCATCCATCCATGCGAACACATTTATACAACATATATATTCTAATATCTATTTAGTGTTTTGTATGATAGAGACTGATTGACTGAGATGACGTATGATAGAATTATGTGGAGGACAAAAACCTGTTGCGCCTACGGGAGTAGGATAAGGAGATGATGATGATGACTTAGTGTTTTGGTATTTGGAAAATTAAGCACAATGTCTACACTTACCAGCTTTAGCATACGCAAGAGCAACTTCAGCTATTCTCTTAACAGAATCCGCATGATCTATAGCACCGTTGTCGGTCAGTAGACCGCAATGTCCATGCGATGTGTATGGGCAAAGACACACATCCGCAGCGAGCAGTAGCTGTGGTAACGCAGCTCTTAACTTCGGAAGCGCTTTCACTACGGGATTTTGTGGTGAATCTGCATTCGTACCTGTTGCATCCTTAAAAGTAATTTGTAAAATTTGTCATTTGTAAAATTTGCAAATTGTAAAATTGTAACTTGAAAAATTTGTATTTTGTAAATATCAATTGCCATTTTTATCTAGACCTTTAAGCCTCAGTAAATTTCAATGTATCACTTGAAAAATATTTAGCCAGCAACTATCAAAGTAAATATTTCTTGGTGTAATTCATCCTACCTTTTCTAATGTTTCCACAACTCCAAATATAAGTATAGACTTTAAGCCTTTATCTACAAGTTCTTTGAGTGCGGGTATAAGTTTATTGATGCCATATCTGTATACATTTGGCATACTAGACACTGATTGGAAGCCATCCTCGTTTTCCCTGTAATAATGACAATTAATAAGTGACAGTTTTCACTTGAGAACAGGACATGGATTACTCCAGTCAACCAAGCTTTCCGAAGAACCCCAGCAAACCCTTAATGTTGCTGGTGATCTCCGGAAGCGATCTCAGCGACCCCAGATACCTAACGCTGTATTCAGTCACTGCACAGTTTCCACTTAGTTTAATTTGCAGTTCATGTATGAAATTAGAATATCTCAATAAAAATGACTTCTAATCAAGTAAAAATAGGATTTTCAATATTTTATGATTTCATCACAGACAACTTTTTCAAAAATTTAATTTATTTCATTCATAAGATGGCTTGTTCCTGTGTTAAACAATTTGTTGTTTTTTTTTTTTACTTTTTATCTAATGTTAATAATAAATTAGGTCTCGAGATATAAAGTTTAAAGTTTATCAATACATACAAAAGCACTGTAGATAATGTTGCATTGTTAATAATATATGATTTACTTTAAAAAGATTTTATATTATAAATATATTGCCTAGAATACATTTTCATTTGTAATGGATGTACTGGCATATAGAAGCAAAATACAAAGAAATAAAATATCCCAGATAACAAATAACTTTGACACTCTCTTAGATTTGGCCACTGTTGGACATAGGCCTTTCCCAATGCCTTGATTGTATACTCACAGCAAAAACACTGGATACATTAAATTGTGTGGTTCAATACTAGTATTTGGTTCTTGCAATTTTCGAAGACTTTCTTGAAAGTATCCACCTTGTAACACATGTTCAGGAGCGAGAAATAGATTTTCCATTTTTGTTGATGTTTCTAAACTTCTTTTATGTAATTCGTATTGTACTACAGCAGATTTCACTTGTTATATCAAATATGAAGACAGGAAGGAAGTATTTATTATATAATTTTTAAAGTACGCCTATTTCAACAAACGGTATAAATTAAACGTAGGTAAAAGTATACAAATCCTGATTAAGACTTTGATATTAAATTAACAATTACTCTACTATTAAAATATCACTGTAATCCGTGAATTTAATTCTAGTGTCGCTTTATTCGCAGTTACTAAATAAATAAAAACTTAATTTTTATCAGTAGCTTCCTCGATGAATAGGTATCCTGTATTATTTCAAACACGTTAAATGAAAAGTAAAAACTGGTAGAAACCATAAAACTGATAAATGCTGATAAAATAAACTTGTTGACTTCTCCAAACTGACAAGAAACAAGATGACAAATGTCAAGTTTTGACTTTTCAGTTTGAACAGTCATTGTCATTAATTCTGTACCAATTCACCACATCACTTCTTAATTTTTAACTTCTCATCCATCCATCTTCACAATCAGTCATTAAACAATTTATTAACATTAAGCGAATTTTCCAACAATAAGCTACTGTTTAACGAACAAGGATTAATATTAAAATATGTAATATTTTTTTTAATACACGCATATTCTGTCATAGCTACAAATTCTTTGATGTTTGGTTTTTTATTCTATAACTATACAAAAAAAAAATTCTGGTTTTGTTGAATTTTTATAATTTGTTTTGTATTATTTATAATTTAGAATATTACAAAGCTTTAATTACTTATAAGCTGCAGTTTTAGAATTCCTTACAATGTGTATTTATTAAAATAAATTGTTAGCACATAAACAAAAAAAAACCGAGTGGGACAATTACTAATGAAATATTTAAGTTATTGTATAACAATAGGGTTAATATATGCTAAAATGTAATTTTATCTTTCGTGTTATATTTCATTAAAACGAGGAGAACAAAGTGATATTAGTTCACACATGAAAAAATCAGAGGATGTTCAAGTTTGCTTGAGTTTTCGAATCGGCATTGTTTACCTTGACCTATAAACAAAAGTTGACCCTGCAATATGCACTCGGACCACGACGACGCAGTAACCCCCAAGAAGAAACACGATAAAGCTGACACATCCCCCGATGTTTCAGTTAGAATCGAAAATTCCGATCCTGGAAGTGATAAAAAAGTTGAAAATAAAGACGCCAAGCCACGTATTGTGTTGACATTCCGTTCTGAAAAATCTGGAGCGAAAAACAGTAACATGAAAATCGTTTCAACTGAGGAGAAACATGAAGAGGTCTCTCCAAGGCGATCGAATAGAAATCGTAGCACAAAGTGGGAATCTGACGAGGATAACGAAACTTTGAGCAGTGCAAAGAAAAGCCTAAACGTTAGTCAATCAGTATCAGAGAATGATGAAGCTTCAGATAGCTCACTAGCTACACCAAAGAGGTCAACAAGGCGACGCAGTAAGGAGTTTTCTGAAAACGTACTGGCTAATGCTATAGCCAGAAAAGAAAAATCATATAATGAAACTCTTCCAGGACCTACACAAAGATTATCAAGGAGAATTAAGCCTACTGCTAAGATATTAGCTAACGAAGAGCTTAGAATGGGACTTGAGTCACAAAACAATGCAAGACTTGGTTTACAACCAGAGAAGACTGAAGATGGTGTTCGAACTAGAAGGTCAGCTCATTCAAAGAACCATGATGCTGAGAGTACAGCTGATAAAAAAGCGATAAAGCGCCATAAGCCATCCGAAGAAATGAAACAAGACAAGTTTGAAGCAGGGGAGAATTCACCGACTGATTCAAAAGTTAAACATTTGTGTAAACTTGGCTTAAAGGCTATTAACACCACTCCTAATGAACCTCCAGAATCAAGCAACAGGTATTTATCAGATTATTTTTTTTTTATCATAATACTATCAAAATCAAGATTTACAAACATCATGCTTATTTATTATTAACAACTATCACTAAGTCAGTGCAAGTATAATATTAAAAAAACATTATTTTTCAGGGGTGGAGAGGATGAAGAAGCAGAAGCCATTGAAGAAGATGAAGAAATTGATGATGAATCAGAGGTGATCAGCAAGTTGCTGGAGGCTGATGAAGATAGCAGTGATGAAGAATTCTTATATCCGATTGCTGGAGTTTCAACTGATCGACCTAGACGGTCTACTCGACTGTGCTCGTCGTACGGGAACGAAAGTGATCAGTCATCAATGTCTGTGGGAGATGATGAGAATAAGTATGTATAATTCGACTGACAGATGTGACTTTTGGAAAGTTGCTATGTTGATGTCGATTTTTTCTTTACAGAGTGCCACCGCGTCGGTCGTCTAGACTCAGATATAGTTGCAGTGATTTTTATGACCGGTAAATATTACGTCATAAATGTGTACTTTCCAATAAGGCTTTCTATGTTTATTAATAGGAATTCTTTTTGGAAGTATTCCGTGGTGGGCACTTGAAATATGAATAACTCGTGACTAACTCTGGACATATGAGTTCATACCAAAAGATATCTGATGTCTAAGATAGACTTGTTTTATAGAGATGCAGCGGGTCCAGAGGAGGGTGAAGAAGCAGCATATCCTCCAGAAGAATATCCAGTAGTTGCATCCTGCAACTGCGAGGCTTCTAGCAAAATGTATGCTGACCCTGATGAACTTACTGGCAAGTTGATTAAATTGAAATGATATTATATGTAATAGCATCCTAAATTATAAAGCCACTCACTAAAACTCGAATTTCCATTAAAATTTTAACTTCTGACAGATGATTGCCGAATACCAAACTGTTTAAGATTCTTTTTAGTTATATGCTCACTTGCTGTCATATCTGAATCCACTTCCTTCTTGTACATATCTTTTTTCACACAATCAATCTATAATTTCTTTCGATCTTCCT